AAAAAAAAAAAAAGTCTTTACTTTTGTTTTTGTGGCAGAGTCTTGCCATGTAGCACAGGCTGGCCTTGAATTCTCGGTGATCCTCCTGCCTCAGCCTCCTGAGTGCTGGGGATTATAGCCATATGCCACCACAGCTGGTTAAAAAAAAGTACTTTTGCTGGAGAAAGGGAGTGAGTTAGCTGAATTTCTTTTCCTTTTTTGGGTGTTAATCTGTAACGTGAAGTTTTAACTTTAAAAGGCTATTTTCAAAAATATTTTTAGGCTAAAGAGCTCCTTGAACTTCTTTCTGAGAACATTATGAGGCATTTTTGCATTACATCTACTGAAATACATCTTCATTTAAAGGAGAATTAAAATTTATGTGCTGGGTCAACTTTAAACAGTAATAGATTATAATGGTCCTTGCTCCTAACGGGGCATAGGGGACCCCAACCTTACGTAGGTTTTAAACAAATTAACCTCTAAAGATTGCTGGCCACTTATTACATTAAATGCTCCACTTGATTTCCAAATATCTCATCTCAGTGGGAAAACAGAGGAAGAACATTCTGTGAGCCGAGCGAACACATAAGGGAGCAGGGCGGGTAACGGGAGAGTGGATTCCCACCGACAATCTCGGCTCAAGGTCTTTGCACAAACGAGGGCTGGACCGGAAGCCGCCCAGGGGGGACCGCAGGGGGTAGGGGGTGCGGCTCCACGTGACGCCGGCTCGGTTCGGAAGCGTGGGCTCCGCGGGCCCCGTGACGTCCGCTGAGCCCCAAACAAAGCGAAGTGGCAGAAGCCTGAAGGGTGCCAACTCTACCAGCGTGCAAGCATATGTCAAGGCGCTCTGGCGACAGATGCCACAGAGGCAGAGAGAGACGCGGAGTGAAAAGCGCGGTGTGGAAAGGATGCTCTAGGTCCTCTGTGTCATTTATTTTACTTATTTTTTGAGCCAGGGTCTCCCTGCGTAGCCCAGGCTGGCCTCGAGCTCATGGCAATCCTCCTGCCTCAGCCTCCCGAGTGCTGGGATGACAGCTCTGGGCCTCTATAGACAACGCAGAAAATGCAGGCAAGAGGCTGACGGCAATTTAATTCTCGGCGGTGTATTAGGTAATCTCAGTTGTCACTTCACAGTGCTGGGCTCTGAGGTCTGCCTTGGGTATATTACATCTAAATTCAATTTGCGCTAATGGCGCTGCTCAGAGTGCTCTGAATTTAATTTCACAAATAATAACTGAGCATCTACTAATTGCGGAGAAAGACGTGAATACAGATCGCGGCGACAAGGGCTAAAATAAAGCTTCATTTCAGCCCAGTCGGGCGGGGTCGCTGGGGATGACTCGGCGACAGGAGGTGGGGGTCTCGGGCTGAAATGGGGCGCTCCGGGCACCACACACCGCTGGGGGCTGGGCCTGGGGTAGTGCTTCGTCCACCTTGCATGTCTGTCCTCTCGCCATCTGTCCCTTGCCAGGGGTCTGGACAGCTGTACAGAGGGAAAAAACAATCCCACCGAGTCCTCGCTCCCGCTCGATTCGCAGTCTCATTTTAAACCCAGTTCTGGGCCGTATTCAAAAGCAGTGCCAGCAGCGCATGCGCAGTCCCCCCCCCGTGTGTGTGTGTGTGGGGGGGGGGGGGGGG